TGCCCCTGTGGTGAAGGGCGGTGATGAGCTTGTCCTGAAGCAATTCAGCTCTCACAAGACAGCCTCGAGCAAGTTTCTCCATCCAACCATTTCCCAGTTGGAAATGCTCTGAGCCTTCAAGCCTCTCCTTACAACAGGGTCACTGGTGAATGTGGTGGAGCACGCTGGGTGGTGGGACAGAGCAAGCACACTGCTCCCCTTTCTGCAAGCCGTGGGGAGCCGTGCTGCCTCCAGAAGGGAGGCAGGGCTCTAGTACCCTGCACCAGTAGTTACCTGGGCCTGACACAAATAGGAATTGATCAAAAGCGGCTTTAAAAGCTCCCGCGTTCCTGGAGGAGAAAGTTCCTCTTGTTGAAATTGGGTGGGAGAGCTGCGGTTTTTCCACAGTTCCTTTGATTTGTTGCCTAATGCAGGGGATGGATAAATCTCTAAGCCCTGAGATTTAGGGCAGGATTCATACTTTACGTCTTCAGAAGACGTAGTAAACAGCCCTATGCTCTCTAATCCTGGAAGCAGGTTCGTACCTGCTCGCTCTGTATAAACTGGACCAGCTACAACAATTTCACATTGTGGCTGAGTTCAAAACATCCCCTTGGGGATGAAATGTTTATTGCAGGAGGGTTTTAAGATGGTTTCTGAAAGGGAGAAATGGATTCCCACCTCTATACCCTGCACAGATCCTGTGGCACTGCCACATGGATGCAAAACTGGTGTGACTGTGTGAGTGGTGGGACAACCTGGCCCATAGGAAAGCACTTGCTGGTAACCTTTGTCACTTAGACTTTCCCCACTGTATAGGCAGAGGGTGGGTGGCCTGTCTACAATGACAAGGGGACCTTCATTTACCAGGGTTGGCCGTTACCAGGATGGGGAGGTGGTGGCTCTGCAGAAGGAATGGGGTTACTTACAGAATCTTTAGGCTGTAGAGGCCAGAGAAAGCTTCCCCTGGGATCCTGGAGATCTGGTTTCCAGAGAGGCGTCTGCAGTGAAGAGAAGAGCCAGTAAAGTGTCAACATCCTTGTAATGACAGTCCCTTGTCTGCAGAGGCTTAACAAGTCATTCGTCTTGCCTCACCTGCAAGCTGAGCCATGGTCACACACTTGGGCAACCTTTGCGTTTCATTCCCGTACAGTTGGGGAACAGGCAAAGAAAGTAATAGCTTGTTACTCCTGCCAGGCCTGAATCCAGCGTTATCAGTGTGCAGTGACAGCTCATGGCTCAAGTCATTCCCTGGACACCTGCAGAGGACCCCACTCCATTTTACAGCACAGGCTGCCTGCGAGAGGCAGCTCTGCTCAAGGGTTGACCAACCTACAGACCCTGCTCTGCGCCAGGCACCTGACAGTGAGGGTGGAACAGGGGAAGAACTTCCTTCTGCTCCCTCATGCATGGTCCCGAGAGGACTCTCTCTAAATCATGGACCCTTTTCTGTGCCTTTTGTCTGCATGTGGCCTGTTTCTGCGTCCTGCAGGTTCTCCTTTGTCCTGTCCATCAAAGCTCGATGCCACTTGATTTTCTTCTACTCCCTCATTCCCAGCTCTATTTTGACCTGTGTAGTCACAGCTAAAGCTCAGTTCCTTCAGGACATGAGTTTGGTATCACTGCTGTGAGGGGAGACAGGGGAAGGGGCTGAAGATGGGAAGTACTATGTAGGTTCCACAGTAGAGCCAGCTCATCTGTCCAAAACCAGGACAGAAAAGTCAGAAGTGGTTCTTGAAGACATTACAGCTGGAGATAACTGTAGAGGGAAGACAAGATAGAGACAATGAAGCTTAGGAAGGCTGATGGATGAATATGAGTGTGAACGGATGAGAAAGGAAGGCAAAGTGAAGAGCAGCATCACAGATGAAGGTGGAACCAACAGGGGGACAGGACAAAGAGCAAGGGACAATGTTCCGAACTGGCTGAAAGTATTTGTCCACAGAAACCTGTGGGATTTGTCATTGTGCAGCATCACCTGGTCAGAGCACTCAGATTTTAGCAAGGCCCAGAGCAGGCTGGGGCATTAACAGGGATCTGGAATTTTCACTGACATTGGAAACTGCACCACTGTTACCATCACTTTCACGGATGTCCATCACTCGAGTCTAGGTTTGACCAAAGGAGAATCTTCTCCTCTTGTTTCTCCAATGAGGAAACATGGACCAAGTCCCAGTGCCCATCAGTTAGAAATCACGAAAACAGATTTAACAACCTCTTAAGACCCCAAATTGCTGCTGCATTTGTGCTTTACTATCTGATCCCCCATGTGGTCAAACAAAGGTCAAGGTTGGACTTCTCCATGGTCACAGGTAAGAAACTTATTGCCCGCTTGATTTGTATCTCCCAAAAGGAGACAGCGAGCATCATTTGTGACCAGACTCATCTTCAGCAAGTCCAAAGCAGGCCCAAGAGGTTGGGCACAGATGCTGGCAAGCTTTGTATACTCATTTAGCATTGACAAAACTGGATGTTTTGTCTGTGAAGGAGGCAGGTGTCGAGGCTGAGCAGTGTAACCCAGGCTGGACACAGAGTGTATTGCAGTGGGGACTCTGCAGAGGTCATGGGGAGGATCTGGGCTGTTCTGGGAGCTGCACATCCCGGTGGCAGAGCAGCATGTGTGGGTGCCCGAACCCTCTCCCTGCCTGTCTCTCCCCTCCGGAATCTAGAGAAAATTGCTCCATAATGAGGCCTCTGACAGCACAAACAGCACAGGGTCGTCCCTTTAATGTGTGCGAGCAGGTTGTAACGTGCCTCTCTGCAGTACGCGAGCTGCCTGGCAGGCTGGGCTTTTTGTCACTTGGGGGCTGTGATTTGGGGTAATTGCTCCTTTTGATTGCTGATTTCCACATGGGAGGGAGCGTTGTCCAGAAGACTGGAGCGCTCGCCCACAGGGGAGGTATTCCTGCACTACAGCATCCTCAGCCTGCTCCCAGCATCCATCCTACCAGGCTGTGCTTGCTCGGAGCGGGGCTGTCTGCCCCCATGCCTTAGCTGGCAGCAGTCTACATGTATTCACTGTTAAATGTGCCTCTTGACCTGTTTCCTGGCAGCTCTGCACCTTTATGTTCACTTTCCCGGGTGTGTTTGAGTGTTTGATAAGTCCCTAAATGGATCTGGGACCTCCAGGATTAGCAGGAAAGGAGTGTGGAGCTTGAGGAGCCCAGGCTGGGGCTTCTTGTCTCAGAACAGGGTGGCAGGGAGCCGCATGCGCTGGTGGGACACATGCTGAACCAGCTTCTGGCATCTCAGCATCATGGGCAAAACAGAACATGAGGGGAAAAAAACAGCTTTCTGTGGGATATGCCCTTGTTTCAATGGGCACCATCTCTGAGTGAATTCAGAGGCACAAAGCATCGCCCAGCCCCAGGCGTTAGGTCTCTTTTTAGGATAGACAGATTCAATTCAGCTGTTTGTCCTGCTGTCCTGGAGCTTACACCGTGAAATAGGGTTGGGAGAAAGAGAAAGCTCTGGATTTAAAGTGCCCGATGGAAGAAGAGGGAGAGAAGGGGCAGGTGGAAGGGGGGGGCAGGAGCTGGTGTTGGCTGGCTTGCTCTGGAAAGCTCGTGTGTTTGGTGGATTTTAGCTTCTGCTCTCCCCCCACCTTCCCCACTCCCGTGATTTCTGGGAACGTTCCTCCAGGCTTTGATCTGCATTCCCAATGCACTCCAAGTTGGAACAAACTCATGGTTTACCACCTCATGGTTGCTGCAGTTCAGTTACCACAGGCTCCCACCCCCTCCTGTATCTTGGGCTTCTTGGTCATGCTACAAGTTCCATGGCACACCCAAAGGCTGTTTGTTGGGCATGATTGCTCATGTCATGTGCTCAGGCAACACGATGATGCTCTTATCATTCACATTAGGAGGCAGGAACATTGCCCATTGGCAGGACAGGACAAACATGTGTGTCCATATTCCAGTGGAATTTTCCCCTTGCCAGATCTTTATTGGGCATGTCAGCCTCCCCCTTTGATCTTCTGCTCTGGTTCATTTCTCAAGTACTAACATTGTCAAGGCAGAACCTATGCCCAGTTACTCCATGCTCCTGTCTAAACAGTGTCATCGTGCCAACACTGCGCCATCCCTTGGGCACACAGGGGACAAGGGCGCTGTGTTCTGCTTCAGTTCGTTCTTGTGCTGGTGCAAAAGAGGAATGAAGCCAATTAAGTCATACAAGTGAAAACAACGTACGTTGGAGGAAAAAGCCAGGCTTGAACTCTCCCTTCCCTTACAGGAATCTTGTCCTAGTCTGGTATCACCTGGAGGTGTCTCTAATGTGATCCTTGGTGCCTTGCTCCATCCCTGAGGACAACACCAAGCAGGCCTGTTTCTAATTCTGCTCTCTGTACCCCCATCAAATGCCTGTTCCAACCTGATAGATTGATGGCATTCGTTTCTTTTGTTTATGGTTCTCAAGCCAGTTTTCAACCCACATGAATGTTCGCATGCAAGCTAGTTTGGATTCATTTGCCAAGTAAGATTTAATAAGACACAGCTCCTTAATGAACAACCCAATGCAGGACACTGAACGCCTTCACTCCATTGCCTTATGTTATAAACTGTCAAGGTTTTCAGGGGACGTTTGTTAGCTCCAAACCTTCGGAGCAGTTTTGACCCTTGACTCTATTCTGTGTGCCCCACTTGGGATACCCCAGAATAGAGTTAGTAGTTTGGAAGGCAGTTTTCAGAAAAATTGGGGCCAGCTACCCTCACTTGCAAGGATTTTTCAGTTGCTGCACACAAACCCCAGCCTAAATGGAGCAGAAAAAGAACTGAAATCTCTAAATTTTCACTACATTTTGAATTTGACTTGGCCTCTGCAATAACTTGGCTTCATTTCTCAGTGTGCATGATGGAGAACCTCTTAGAAGCCCCTGTCTCCTGTCCCCACCTGCAGCTTGGCCAATGACTGCATCCACCCCATGCCAGATCGCACAGGGATGACCTTTGGAAGGCTTCCTCATGGGAATTATCCTTTAACCCTCTCTGTGCTTTTGCCCACCTACTGAACTGATGATCAGTGCTGGCCTCTGCCAAGGATCAATGTCAACCAGGAGGACCAAAGTCCTAGACCTCTTGTTGCTAGCAAGTTGCATCCTAGAGCTTTCTCAGACGCAGGACCTCAGCAGCATCCTGAGGGAACCATGGAGCCTAAACATGTAGGGAGCTGCAGCTCCTCACCTACAGCCATCAGGAGATGGAGAGCTGTGTCAGGCAATGTTGCCTGCAGATCTCAGCATGGCAAAGCAAGGTCATAGCCCTACAAGCATTTGCCTCTCTACCATAGACCTCTGCAGCCTGCTATGTTATGGAAAGCAAACAAAGCTGCTCTGCTAGGAGTACCCAGCTCCAGAGATGTTATTGCACTGCTCCAGGAAAGGCTTTTTGCCATGGTGCCAGCACACTTGAACATTGCTTATAAATGTCAGCACCCTTTACACAGCAGAGCTATCACTCCTGAAGGGGTCATGCCCCAAAGCCAGCATTACTGCTGTCCTGCCTCTTACAAGCACGAGATTTCCTTGGAGTGGGACCCTGTGTGGGACAATATCCCCAAAGGTGGATGCTTTGGATGTCTAGGAGCTGATGTGGGTGATGGAATAGGTTGCCCAGGGAAGTTGTGAATGCTCCAACCCTGGAGGTGTTCAAGGCCAGGCTGGACAGAGCCTTGGGCGACATAGTTTAGTGTGTAGTGTCCCTGCTCATGGCAGGGGGGTTGGAACTAGATGATCTTAAGGTCCTTTCCAACCCAAACCATTCCGTGATTCTATGGTGAGTGCTCCAACACCAGGCAGGGGCACAACGAAGCAGTGATCAGTGATGGCTTCTCTGGTCCTTGCACCTGCATCGTAAGAGGCATGGAAGGGGGTTCCTTCCCTGGTGCAAGGGAGGAGAAGAGGGCTGCTATGTTCACAGCGTGCATGTTTGCATTGTATTTTGTTTTGCCTTTATGCTGTTTCTTAGCCTCCAGTCCCTTCGGTTGCAAGAGCTGTCTGAGAAAGGGAACAGCCTGCAAGGGGAGGCCACGGTGTGGGTCCTGAGCCTGCTGTGCCTGCGCTGATGCAGAGGCACGGCACTCCCCGTGATGCTGAGTACCTCTGCCCTGGGGGCCTGAGAAGAGGCAGGTGAAAGAGCCAGTGGCTGGGAAGGGGTCTGATCTTGCCGCTGTGCCCTGAAGCAAGAGGTGAATGGCAATGAACACCTGCCTTTGGCTGCAGTTTCTCTTCTTGGCACCAAGTGCTCTTGTTTGGATTCAAAGCGTGGTAACAAAGCCCTTGCCGGCAAACACATTTCAACATGTTATTATTCCCAGGCTGGCTTTCAAGATCCTCTTTCTATTCCTTCTGTACTGATTGCTCTTGTTTCTCTTGGCTCCCAGCTCTGGCTTTTCAGGCTTCATTAACTGGAATTTATTAGCAACTTTAAACAAGCTTCCTGCTGCCAAAAAGAGAGAAAGAAAGAAAAGAAGGGGGAAAAATAGAGAAAGAAACAAAGAGGAGACACACTAAACTCCGGGCTGCTCCCTGCCTGTGTGAGGCCCAGCTCTGAATGAACACCTCTGTCACTGGCAGTTTTCTTTGAAGGGCAGGACTAGTGAGTGCTGGGCTGAGATCATGCCTGCTTCCAGCACAGCCTCTCCTGTCTCCACTCTTTATCCCTGCTGGAGATGGAGGCTGGTGGTGACAGAGGAGAGCACAGATTGATGGAGAACCACTAGAGAGGAGCCCATGGTGGCGTGGACTCTTCAAAGCTGTCTGAGACCGGAGAATCTGGTCTCTTGGCACCCTCCAAGCACAAGTGCTAATTGCATCCGCAACACCTTCCTAAGCAGCTCACAGTAAAAGCTAATGACTAACAGGTCCTGGCACACCTGAGGGGCCCATTCTCATTGCTGAATGGATGGGTAAATAGAGGCACTGGCAGAGAAAATCACCTCACCAGGACCACACATTGAGCTGGAGCACTCCTGGTGCCTTCATCTGTGCCCCAACTACAGCACTGACTCTAATCCCTTGTGGGACACAGCTCCCGGGGGGATCTAAGGCCATGCGGGAATGTCCTGTGGGACACAGCCCAGATGGACATCATGGTGTGGCTTGGGTGATTGATTTGCTGTCCTTCAGACCCTCATGTGCCACCCTGCTCTCACTTGTTCCTCGCATGCCCCCAGCCAGCATGGGTGCGTGCAGACAATTAACACACTACGGGCTCAGGTGGATCCAGCAACCTGGATTCGCAGTGCTCCATGCAGCTGGAATGATGTGCAACAAGGCACATTTGTCCTCAGCGTCCATGGGACATGTGCATCATCTACCTGCTTTTGCAGCTCTCTGTTCTCTTTCCATTATTCCTGTTCCTTGGCCGAACCCCAGCTCCACGCAGAAGCTGAGCCTTCATCCAGCTGCTCTCTGAATTTCATGAAGCTTCACCTTCATGGGGAGCCTGAGAGGGTGCTAAATGAGAGGCACGGAGAGTGGAGGAATTGTAAAAGGTGTGAAACACCAGCTCTCCTCCAAGCTCCTGTGACCCTGGGCTACTGGGACTAGATCTAACAAGAGAGAAGATTGTCAGGAGCAGAGCATGAGAGGGAAACTATGAGGAGCTTGTGGAGGAGGCAGAGGAACATGAACTTCCTCTGACTGTCAAAGAAGATGAGTTTTACAGACTGCATTCACATGTGTTCAAGGGCCAGGGCTGTCAGGAATTTCTAGGAGTATTAGACCAAGGTAAAAATATCCCAAAGACATAAGAGTTTCCAGAGGACCTGAAAAGAAGACTTGAAAATATGTGTTGAATTTGGCAAATATTTTTGGCTGAGGAACCTGTGACTTTTTTCAAGCATCTTTTTTTAAGGCATCTTTGCAATAAACCAAATATGATTTGAAATACCATTTAGTTTTCAAGTTTGACAGGCGGACAGGCAGGTCCTCCTCCTCCCCAGGAGGCACTAACACTGAGATACCTGGATGGTCCCTCATTGCTCAGCAGGGTTTTCTGGTCTTCACTCATTTTGCATGCCTCAGCATGGGCAGCTCTTCCATGGGGAAGTAGACAGAAAGCTTGGTCTCATGTGCAACATGTCACCCCACTGCATAGATGAAATCTGCAGAGATTTGAGCTGTTAAACCTGAACAAACTTCTACTGAGGATGTGTAAACATGCAGGATTTGCTTGATTGATCCTTGTGCACATCCTGGGTACAGAGTGTGATCCCATCCTGAATGTCATGGTCCTGATGTAATGTTTTGGGATGGAAGTCTGGTAAAGATAGAAGTGAAAAGAGCAGGGGAAATGCCAGGCAAGTTGCATTACTGGTTGATGACAGCCCTATGAATAATGTACTCAGTGTCCCTGTCTGGATGTTGTTGTTGAAAGAATCACTTTTGATTCCTGATAATATGTAAAAATCCTTCCTTGCTTGATTTCATATAAATTGCTTGATTTCCATAAATAGGATTACTGTCTTATTGATGTCAAATTCAAGCAGGAACTTGACTATACATAGACATGTAATGCTACATTTTCCATTTCCTTTCCTAACCATGATATTTTTTCCTAGTCAAAATACCTTCGTTTTCCAACTGACGACTTGTGGCATTTTGAACCTCTACTAAACTGTTCTCTAACAACTTCCAATTATTTTTCAGATTTTCCTGTTTAAACTTTTCCTTTTCATCTGTTTCATTCATAATTATTTTTGGCTGTGGGAAGCTGGCTCTCTTGGAGCCTCTGAATTCATTGCTGCTTGAGACTGTTCTGTTTGTACCTGACATGTAATCAGGCCACAGTTGCTTGCAGGAAGACAATAGTTAATTGTATACAAAAGAGTATGGTCTCTGCGTATGAAAAGCTGTACTACCCCCAGCGAATGCTTTGGGTGTCCACTCTGACAAAATAGGAAGAGAAAGGTTGCAAGATGGATGCAAGGTCTTGCAAAACCCACCTTCTGTGCACAGCTCGAGCTCCAAAGCTAAAGAAGGATAAAAAATTACTCCTGGTCAGTCTGTAGATGCCTAATGGGGAAGGGAGACTGCATAGCTCAGGTCCTTACAAGTCTAATGAATAGAAACAACAGACAGGTAAAGAAGAACTGCAAAACAAAAGCCCATGGTATGATCTGGTAATTATGAGATTTGACCTGTTACGGGAACAAGGCACAGTGGTATCTGCTCCAGTCTTGTTAGTCAAGAGTGAATGTTCAGAGGAGTAAGTTTGTCTTTGCATTTGTGTGTCTTCATAAGTATGTAGAGTCACCCACAGACTCTTTCTAAATGCACAGATGGGGCTTCCTGCTCATGGCAGTGGTGCCTCAGCACATCACCACACAGTGAAGAAGCTCGTGTCAGTAAGGGGTTAGGCAGGTCACTGCAACCCATCCATATCACTGGCATTACTTTCTAGCACTGCAAGCTGATGGCTTGGGGTCGCCCCACTGCAGAACACACGGCCTAGAACATCTGGGAAGTGAAACTGCCTCCGTTCAAAGTACTGCAAACACCTATTCTGTAGGGAATTCTGACATTTTGGAAAATACTGGGTTTGAAACGTTGATGTTGTTTATGGCGGTGGCAGCAAGAAGTGGTTCAGGAAAGTGTTTCGTTTAGGTTAAGCTGCAGTAAGTGTTATACACAGAGAGTAACTTCACAATACGTGGATCGAATGCAGCATTAATACTAGTATTTCATGAAACGTAAAAAATGTGTTTTGAAGAATCTGTGTTTCTGAACAGAAGCTATTGCGTTGAAAGGCACAACATGAGAGTAACACCTGGAGGCATTTCTCATGATCAAGTTGAATAAGACCATACAGGAGCAATTTACCCAGGCAAAAATGGGCAGCCTAAACGTTCTGCCCCCCAGGTTGCCATTTTTGGGGCTCCCAAGGGATGCCAGTGGTTTCTGGTAGTTAATTTTCACACTTTCAGACGTGGGGCCACTCCTTCACTGACACAACAGCCACACATCAATGCCTGGGGACTGCGTTCTGCGTGTCTGAGTGCGTCTGCTCAGGCTGCAACACACGTGGGTGCACGATGGACCATCCCAGCCTCTGGGACAAAGGGGTTTTACTTCAGTTGCTCAGGCTTATTGCCACCCAAACTGCAAAGTGCCCGGGAGCTCTTGCGTCTGTGGATGGCAGGAGGCTGTGACTGGCCTCATACAGGGGCCAGTCAGAAGGATGAATGGAGCTCCCTCTTTGCCATCTCTGCTCCCGGGTTAATTTTTCCATAATGGATTGGGTCCTTTTTTATTTTGCCTTTTGGCACAAGCACCATCTCAGCCTAAAGGTAATGATCACAGTCAAACCCTTAAGCTAGAGTAGCAAAACCCCCCTGTTCTGGTGTGCAGCCTTCTTCCATCTCAGCCTGACAACACTTGGGGTTGCTACCAGAGCCACAGGCACCCTCTCCATGTCCCCTGGACCACCCCAACAGAGCTCTGCCTGCTGCGGCTGCTCCATACTTACAGCTCCTCCAGGAAGCGCAGGTGACGGAGAGTCCTGGGCTGCAGCTGGCTGATGTTGTTCATGCTCAGATCTCTAGTGAGGAGGAAAGACAGAAGTCTCTGGTCAGTCACAGAATAACCCCACGACCACGCTCTGTGTCCCCTCTCTGCTGAGAGGGAACACGAGAAGCCCCTGCAAATGGGATTTCAGCATCAGTGTTTTAGCACAGCTCAGGCTCCGGCTGCAGAGGGATGGAGAGCAGCAACCAGAGAGACACTTGCTCTTTTAGGGTGGTCTTCCAGAGCTTCTCCAAGTTATGGAGCAAGTTATGACGTTTCTTACCACCACAAGCAGTATTAGTGGCATGGGTGGACGCAGGTCACACCTCGGCAGGGTCTAAACCCTTCCTTTACAGCTTCCCTGGAGGGGTGTCCTCTGACAAAACCAAGTGGTCTCATGAGCCCTGCTTGAAGATACTCCTGCCAGAGACTGGTTTTGGTTGGTTTTTTTTCCCTTTTTCTTTATAACTTTCTGCTCTCCAAAGATTGGGAAAAGCCCCAAAGACCTTTCAGAATTCAAAATCCTTTTTTTTCAGAATGAATGGAAAAATCAAGTTATTTTCTGCAGTGTTCTGTGTGCAACAAAACATCCGACATTTGGATGCTCCTGGGATACAACAGAAGGGTTAAAATATCATTTTGTGCTGCTTCTATTTTTATTTTGAAATCCCTAAGGGCAGTTGCTACTTAGCACCCATTAAAACATCTTTTTTCCTACATCAAAGTGTCTCCTGTTTATGTTGTAATGAATCAGTCTGATGTTTTGACATGTTGTGAAACAATGTAAAAATAACGAAAAATAACGTAAAATGAAAGGCTGTGAAACAAAACACGGCTCCGAAGCAGCCAATCTCCTTGAAACTCCGAGGCATGTTCCTTACGTTGCCTTCTGCTGTAGGGAATGCTCTTTGCTCGCCACAGGAGACACTTTTCACACCTCATTAAACTGCATTTTGGGTGCCCAGCCCTTTCCCAGGCCTGATGGGGACCCCTTCACCCCTGGGTAGGCAGCGGTTACAGGGATGCACAGACCCTCACCATGAGTCCTACCCGGCAGCATGGCAGTATGTGGCTGGTGGTAATGGGGAGGTCAAAGATGCTTTGACCCCTTCTCTTCTCCCCCTTGATCCATACCCTAAAGAGGAATAAACCACACTTTTTTCTGAAGAAATCTTCCAGAAGGCAGAGGAGAAACACCATTATCCCATCGCTCTGACAGCCTCCCAGCTCCACCTCACATGGCTGTTCTTCAAATCATAGAGTCATAGGATTATAGAACAGTTCAGGCTGGGAAATGCCCCGCTCCCTTCCCTCTCATCCTCTTGCAGCCCTGGGGCTCCCGGCCATGGACAGGTCTAAGGGAACGGGCTCTCTCCCACCATCTCTTGGGGCAGTGAATTAAAGCCAAGCCCTGATTTCCAAGGCTGTTGCACGAGTAACATTTTAGGTAATTTCATTTAAAACACAGATGTTTTGGGTGTTTGGATGCTCTGGTGCTTTGTGGTCCTGCAGGACTTGAGTGCAACGTATCCCCACTCACTGACACAGTACTGAAAGGGGGATGCCCACAGTGCAAACCCTGGTAGTGGTCTGCAGGTACAGTGCCATGTCCCCATGGAAGCAGGACAGCATGGTGGGGATGGTGTAAGGACAAGCGGTGTGAAGGGAGAACAAGTTCATCCAAGGGCTGGGAATGAACTTCCTGAGCACAGCCGTGGATGCAGTGATTTTGCTAGCCACAAAAGGACAAGATGTTTCTCCACAGGCTGCCCATGATTGTGTGAAAGCCGAGGCGCAGGATTCTTGCCTGCAGTGTTGTGGGAGTAAATATTTGTCTTATTACTCATGTAAAGATGTTGTTGACTTGTTGCTGTGTTTTCCCAAGCTCATGCTTTTCCTCTTAGTAAGGTTTCTTGTGTTATGTACATCCCCAGTGCATGCAAGAGTGGAAATGCTTCCTGTCAGCATAATCAGAGAAGCTATTTATCTCTCTGAGTGTCTGGGGGTGGGTACTTCAGCCAGACACTTGCAGTTAGATTTAAAAGGAACCTATGGCATTTGAACCTTGTTGGATTTGTTTTGGTTTTTTTAACACCATCTGGCAGAAAGATTAGGGATGCATGGACTTAATGGATTAGGGACAACTCTGACCTTTCTCAGCTCTGTCAATGACTGACTCTGCAAAATAGCTCTTTCTTTTGAGTTAGTAGCACCCAGTGGAGTCAAACAAGTGTTGGGTCACTCATATCTAAGCATGGTTATTGCCATTTGCACTGGAGAAACTACTACAAAGATGGGGACCATACCATAACAGGTATTATAGAAATGTGTAACATAATTCAGACCCCAAAGTCCTTTAAAACTCTAGAAGAAATTGGAAAGGAGGAAAGGGGGTGCTGCAGCTTCACCCCCGCTTGCAATGTAGGACCAGCAGAACAACTGTCCATAGACAAGCCACCCCTCTCCTGTCCTAGAACTCCTGTGTTCCTCTTTCCCCACTCACCAGCCTGTCTGTAAGCTATCCAGCTAAAAAGGAAACCTTCTGCTGTCAAATGATTTTGCATGGCTGTGGTCTGCAATGCTGACAGTAAAGCAAACTACTACTGGAACTGAAACTCTTCTGGTATCACCCCCATTTACCCATGAAGCAATGTCTTTTAAGGACTCTTGCGCTAGGTGTTGAAATTACCTATGCTTTCAAATGGCACTGCACCAAAGCCATCACGGCTATAATTAGTGTGATTTAACATCCCCCCTTCCCCAACTAATTCTAAACATTTATCGTAAGCATTTCTAACTTGTACCTGCAGGAAAACTGAGACACAGTTCATGGAAACCGAGCTCATGTGATTCAGCCTCAGACCTTGCAACTCCTCTGGCCCTCGAGGGGTTCCTTAAATTATTTGCTTTGATGTCGCCTTCTTTCATGAACAACCTTTGATTGTTCTCTGATTAGCTGATCTTTCTTACCAAAAATGATGTGACACACACCACACTTTGGGTACCCCCGTAGGACTGCCTGCCATGCTCTCTACCAGTGCGATGAGATGGTTACCACAGTGTTTTAGTTCAGGGATAATATGAGCTTTAAAGATCAAAGGAATTTATCTTTGGCATAATTGCTCAGGCAGGTGGGATGCAGGCTGTGCTGCTGGTGCTCTGAAACAGGGAGCCATGGATGTCCCTGTGGGGACCAGCACAGTCCCTCCCTCTGGTGAAGACAGCTGTGGGACCCTGTAGAAGTACATAGGCCAAAGAAGTTCTTAGGTCAAATAAGTTCTTAGGTCAAAACCTAAGGTTTTTATGCTACAACATGTGGGTCTGCCCAAAGTAGCCCTAAGCAATGTCCCCAAAGCTACCTCTAGAGAGAGAGGGATTGATGTCTCACACAAACTTAAGGTGTTTGAACCTGACCACAAAACTGGGGGAGAGATGAGCCTTGTCTGTGACGCCCAAAGCTCCTGATATACCTCTTCCCAGATTATAAGCAAAGCCTTTCCCCAGAGAGACACTCTAATGTCAATTAACACCAGCAGAAGTCAACAGACCTAAAGCGAACCAGACTGAAGCCACACTAGAGTGACACAATGAGATTGTGGCTGCTCAGTCAGGAGGGTGTGAAGGTGAGACCTGCACTGAAGCAGCCTTCAGAGCCAGATGTGTATCTGGGTCAAGATCTGCAGATTGCACGAGTGGCAGAGAGCTGGTGCTCCTCTTGAAGCCATCACAGGACTAGGAGGTTTCCTACAGAGAGCAGCTCCAGCTGTGTCTGGGAAAAGACATTCCCCAGCCACCTCTCTCTCTGTGCCCCAAAGGGGCAGAAAGTCTGGACACCAGCTTCTGCCCCCTGAGGTGCTCTCCATGGGTACCTCTGTCACTCAGCATGATGAGAAGCCTGTGTCCTCCTTCTGCAAGAGCAGGGGGAAGTAGCTGCCTTGAAGTAGATCTTTGATCTACAAGATTTCCACAAGCTCCGGGTGTGTTTTAAGGGGAAGTCTTCAAGGAGCCAGCAGTGAGTACTCTATGGGCTTTTGGTTTCTTTCATACCTCAGAGAAATCCCATGCGTGTGGCAACAGCTGGAAGTGATGACAGATGTTGCCCAAGCCAGCGGACAGGACTTGAGGTATTTAGAGAAATGGACCTTGTGCTCCTCTTTTCTACAGAGGCATGGTCACCCCGGAGAACAGATCTGACTGTCTTCACGTTTTGAGCCTACAGGAAGCTACTGAGAATCTCAAATCGTGACTACCTTCTCAAGCCCTAAATTGCTCCACTAAATGAGTATCCTCATGATTTTCAAGATGTTTAGGATATTAATATCCTCTCATCCCAGCATAGACTCAATGTAGCTCCTCTCAGCATTAGTGCTGAACACAGGGGTTCCTGGACTGTAAAAAACCCCTTCCTTACACTCAGGCAGTTGTGGGGAAAAGCCAATGAGCTGGTATCCTCTTGGTTAGTTAATTGCACAATTGCAGCATTAAGGCCTCCCAGGCCAGCAGGCTGATTGCTGGGGGAACTGTACAAACCAGACCAAAATTACCATCCTTCTCCTGGAAAGGTCCAACACTAGACCTGTTCTTGCAAGGCAAGAAATACTCCTGTGTCTCTGAAATCACCCAGAGATGGGCAGCATCTCTATCTTCTGGCCACTCTCATTAGCATCCAGTGCAAAACGCACCATTACACCACCTTTAGGAAAGAAGCCCAAAGGCAATAAATGATGGTTTTAGAAATTCTTCAGATTATACTAGAGTGATTCATAAAGGTTCTTGTTATCTCCTTCCCTCTTTATCTTTAAATCTCCGAGGTCACCACAAAATACCTGAATTGCTCGGGGCAAAACTAGGTCTGATCATAGAATGGTACTTGGAGCCATAGAACCTAAAAGCCTGCAGGTTGAATACTGTACTAAAGGTAGTCTCCATAAAGAAAAGGAGAAAGGGAAGATAAAGAGATGAAAGCAGAAAGAGCTCATTTGTATTACACCATATCTGGAGGCACCAGCCCTGCTTCAATCCCATATCAC